ACTCAACAGCCCTCACAGGAACATTGCTTTAACTACAGTGCTGCCACCTTGACTGAACTTCCCACAATTCTTTGAAGCTCATTCCCTAACATGTACAACTGAACAGTCCAACTCATCTTCCACCTCTCAACTGGCAGTGCCCAGAGCAGTCCTGCAGATTGCCATGGACAGACTACAGAGTGCAACACTGGAGCATTTTTGAGCCTGCTAAACTCATATCCTTTTCTTAATTGTAAATGGTGCTTTCAAGGAGAGCTAAAGAAAAGCTACAAGAGTTCTCCTCACACCACAGACCATTCAGCCAAGTTGCTTTAAGGTGGTCCCTTCATGTCCTTTCTGTAATTACACCTAAATACACACAGGTAAGTCCCCAGCAGTCGTTACCAGCTTCAGGTTTGAGGAGATTTGAATTATAGTTGGGTGAAACTTAGTTTTGTTTTTCCAAGTTTTCAGAAGTGGCAATGTAGCTGAAATTGGGAAGGGCATAAAGTACATCAAGGTAATACTGTCATTAATGTTTTGCTGCCATGGGAACTGACTTCAGTATATATTGCAAAGTAAATATATCTCTGCGGGAAAGATCTCTTTGGTTTGCAAACCACAAAGTTTATCTAACCTGTAGTCTTAATTCCTATTTGCAAACTAGTCACAAACTCTGACTGAATTCTAGGTGTCATGATAAATTGGTGAGACTACTGCTTAGGAAAATACTTTTACTTAAAGGTGAAAAAATTTAACAAAGGTATCACCAGGAAACAGCACCACAGTACACCATTCATTTCCCAGTGCAGTGCCACTTCTGGCATGGAACTACAGAATGCTATAACAATTAACCATCTGGAAATTCAAAATGCTAAAGCAATTACCATTTTTAGCATGGTCAATGTCTTTATCCTCCTGTCAAATTCAAAGGGACCAAGACTTCACCTGATTTTATATGTACAGACGTATTTTCAAAACAGAAGTAGAAAAAGATATCATGGGAGAGGAGCTTGAGGGCAGATCAACTCCTCACATTTTCCTTACCATCTTTCTACAGTTATTTTCTCTCAAAAGTTTGACCTTATTTCTCTTAATTTTTTTTCTAGAATGACTTTTAAGAAGTTTCTCAGAAAAAAAATATTTTAACACCAATGAGCAATTGTGGTTAGTTGTTTTTTATAAAATATTGTTTGATCAATACTGTTGTCCTCATTTTCTTTCCCATGTGGCCTTTTTGTTTATACTCCCTCCCTCTCTCTCCACAGCTTACAGGTAATTCCTCTTTTCCTCCTGTCACCTGCTAATCTTCTCTGTTCTGCTTTCACTCAGCCTTCTCCCTTTCATCTTCTTACTCTTGTCCTCTCTGACCCAGCTTAGAAACAAACTCCTATTTAATCACTTCAGAACATCCAAAAGTTGTTTTCCCTTCCCAAGTTGCCTTATTTGTGGTGAACTTTCCAAGTCTATAGTTGAATGTTAACGGAGTTGCCTTCTGGTGATGGAACTGAATTGCTGCAACAACTCATAATTAATCTAAATTTCCACAGGTTTAAATAGCTCACTCAGTCTCACGAGTCTTTTGGGAGCCTGGGCAGTGCACTCAGACAGATGTCAAATTGCACCATCTTTGCAGGCGATCAAAACCAGGGAGCCCTGACCCAGATGAATCCTGAAAACTAGGACAGTTCTAGTTTAAGTGAACTAAATCTATCTGGAACTGTCTAAAACACTTTCATTCATATTTTGGGCTTAAGAATATTTGAAAGTGTGTTGAAGTGTACTACCTCATTTCATGTCAGCCCTTAAAACAGAATCACTTGGGCAGCAGCTGTTTTTTAAAAAAAAGACCCAGCCAGGCCCACAGCTGGACACACCACATTCAGCTTCAGGGTATCACTGCTGATAGAGGGGAAGTGGAAAAAAAATTAAATCAACAAATACACGATGACAGTTACCACATATAACATTCCTGAGTTGTTTTTTAAGCTGTATTGAATTTGGGAAATAAAAGACAAATAGAAGCTCAGTTTTGTTAGTTCTGCAGCGAAGCCCCTTGTTTTAGTATTTTGAACATTAAGAAACCATTTACTTACTGTGAACTCTACAGACTTAAAAAATACAAATCTGCAATACCACAAGTTGGTCATTGCCCTTGTAAGACATGCTGCTAAGCCACAGGTCTTTGGGTTTATGAGATCACTTCGCTGCTTCTAGGAGCATTCACTAGGATCAACTGCAAAACAGCTAATCCTCCATCTGTAAGATTATTTTAAAGGAATGTGCTAACCACTTTATGCAGAAATATATCTAGTTGTATCATCAGTTAACAGGGACAGATGAAAAGTTGCCAGAGGATGTACTATAATACAAAAAGACAATAATACTTGGACATTTATAACATTATTGTTTAACTGATATGAATATAAAATTTCCTTTCAAAATTGAAATGTCTTTAAGAAATCACAAGAATAAAGAGCCTTTAAAACATTTTATGAAGCACTGTATTTTGTTCTACATAGCCTTATATAGACAACTAGAAGGGAAAAATTATATTAAAAAACAAAGCAAAATAAATATTTAAGATCAGATAAACTAACCAGTTTTTACACATTCAAAGATTTTAGATTTTGATCAGATAAACTAACCAGTTTTTACACAAAGATTTTAGATTTTTAAGAAAAAATACTTTTTTTGAAAATATCAACTTTTGCTTTGATTCTACATTTATAAATCAAACATGGAAAGAACTATTGAATATTGGTATACTAGCTATTGAATATTGGCATACTAATTGTCAAAATAAAAAACGAACAGAAAAACCCTGTGCAGTATTCACTAGGATTATAACTTTGGATCCTAGTGTGACTGCTCTGCAATCACAGTTCAAAAGGAAGATACCAAAAATCAGCTCCGTAGAGTAGGTGATGAATCGTTACTTTGCTGACTCATTCCAGGTGTATATACAAGTTCCAACGAAGGGAGTGCCCAGGACTGAAGACAGTGATGGAGTGAGGGGAAGGGACCAAAAACCCTGTCAGAGGCACAGATCAACCTGCTGCAAAATCAGTGTCTGCTGTCAACCAAAGCAGTTAGCACTCCGCATGGCTTCGCACCTAGTCCGAAACCTTCCAGCAGATGTCCTCGCAAGGCAGGCGCGTCAGGGAGCTTGGAGACGTCACCATTTCAAACAGATGGGGAGCAGAAGAGCCTTAAAATAAGGGTGATATAAATATATAAACGAATTCAAAGTATTTAGTGTATTCTCCAACACCAAACTTAAAAACACAGGCAGCATGTTTAGAAAATGAGTGTCATCTTAAAAACTAAAACAAAGTGACCTGAACAAGAACATAAGCACATGTTTGAAATAGCACATCTGTTTCCAATTTGTTTGGTAAATCTTACACTTCACTTATGAATAAAACAGAAGATTCAAAAAATGATGGTGAAAAGCATGAGCATAAGGCAAATCCTGTGTCTCCTCCTTCCCTTTCATGTTAAAATGACACTCACTTTAATGTGCACAGAGCCTTCTGCACTACTCCCTGGTGGCAATGACATACAATTGTTACCACAAAGCTGGTGGTATTCTTGGAAACAAAATCCCTCAGCTATTTCAGGGAGACTTAAAAAGAACGATTTCCTTAAAATAATGATCCTCACCATTACTTCTAGAAATATTTGACTTGCCCCTTTATGTAATGAGTAATGGATCTACAGGTAACTACCCACAGACACCTATGAGATAATGATCCATCAGGTACTGGTCTACAAACTCAAAGCTGGGATTCTTTACCCAGGTCTGAGACCAGCATCTCCAGCCCTCAATCCATTACCTGCTTTATGGCTTCATACATGAGCAGTCACATCAGGGAAAGCTGAAATCAAGATGATGAGTAGCAATGACTCTTCAAGAGCAGACACAGAAGTGCGTGCTGATACTCATGGCTTACTGGGAGACCAGCCAACTGGGATATGTCAGTCACTGCAGTAGAGCTGGTGGAAAGAACTCGAGACTGTCCCAGCTTCTGGAAAATGCTAGGAGGATGGTTACAATAGCTGGAACAAACCTGTTTGGCCAGAGCTTCTCTGGTGGCTCAAATAACTGGGACAGATCTGTCTGCCAGAGGTTCTTTGGTGGACCCATTATGGCACTTACATGGTGTTGCTATGCTCTACACACTGAATTAGGCCAAAACTAGCATCATCAATTACAGAAACAGACTGCTTATGAAATCTTAGAGTAGGGGTTTGTCAGAATCTTGTCTGATTCTTCAATAGTACAAGTGACTGATTTTCTGCAGGCTGATTGTTCTCAATTTCAACAACAAAAAGAAAATAGATTTTTAGCTTTGTGTCGGTGGATGACCATAGTAAGCAACACAGAACAGTTAAATTTCTTAACTGGTGAATGCTTTCATGCCATTGAAGCATCAGATAAAGCACATTCTGCACTTAGTTTGCTCTAAAAAAAGAAGAATCCAGGTTCCACACCCTGAAAAGCAGGTAAATACAGTATTAAAGCTATTACAGTTTCTCATCTTAACTAAGGCTCTCTTCAGCTGTCACAAAAAATACTTTTGAAAATCTCTTTAACCTTTACTTAAGCAAACAAAAACCACAGAAGAATTCTATGAAATCAAGATTTCCATTTAAAATATCAAAGGACAAATACAAATGAAGGATGATGGCTGGGAACAGCTCCAGACTATTGTTAATCATTTAAGATTACTTGACTAAGCTGTCTGTCTTTGTCATGAATCTTAAGCCCCTCACCCTTTAGCTATATAAGGAACAGCAAATTACAGTGCAAGTAGAGGCTAATTCTACTGTTTCTAAATAAAGACCTCTTATGGGAACAAACACACATTCAAACAAAACCATAAAAATGGTGAAGCAATCCTAATCATAATCAGCTATTCCTCCATAGCTCCAGTTTCATTATGTAATCATGTTCCAGTCAGTTCTTTACAAACTATGTCAAGAAGTCACAATTCCCCCAGAAAACTGTGCAAGGATAACCGTACACATGTCCAGGAAATAGAGGATGTCATTTTATTGGAGGTCCACAGGTAATTGTATCACATTAGGGAGTGGAAGAATCTTGTGGTATGGCACAACACAATACCTCACTCTAAACACTTAAACAGAAGGTTAAATGATATGCAACATGATCAAATCAGTAATTCTTCATCTTCTAGGCACCACTGATTAATTTTAAATAAACTTTTATAAATTGAAAAAATAATATAGTCCATTAATTTGTTGTACTGTCTTTAAATGAAACAGCACTTTGAAAGTCACAAATAAAAAAGCAGCACTTTCTCTTAATACCAACACCACTGTAACACATACTGTAGAGTGGCATGCAAATCCACATCTGCAGTCTTTGTTTTTTGTATTAACAAATGGAATGGTAATTTTCTATCATCTCAAATATTGGTAGCATAACATGTAAGTGCAGATCATTCTGGCCACAATTGTGGTAAGCCTTAACAAGTGTGTATTACAAGAGCATAGAACACAGAGCATGACACTTACATCCAAGAATCTTTCTCTTTTGTACTGTACATGGTGTTTGTTACAGGCTGACTTCCAACTTGCTGTACCCAAGCCTCAGGAAATAAGATTATTGACCTTTTCTGGTTTTATTTAAAAATAAAATGCAGTCACCATCAAAGCACAACCATTAACAACCTGGTCAAAAAAATGCCATAGCTCCACTGAAAAAATAACTTGCCTTTTTAGTAGACTCCATTACGTGGTAAAGTTTCCATTATAGGCATGTTACGAAGTTTTTTTTCCTGCTAAGTGGAGATCTGTATAGGCACCAAGAAATGGTGCAGTGTTCAAAAAGCTGTTCAAACTGAGCTAAGCTTAACGAGACCACGTACTGAGTCTTCATGCAATGAATCCTGGCTGGCAAGACTCAGGACATGCATTGTATGGCTGTGTGTGATAGGACTTCCACTTGGCAGCATCCCAGGGGGTGATGGAGCTTCTTCAGGAGTGAGAAACTGATGACCGTCGTGTTCCTCTTTTAATGGTATGATGTCTGTCAAACCTGAATCTGATGTGAGATTTGGCATAGAAGATGGTGGTGTTGGTTGCCCTAGAGTTAGAGTTGCACAAGGCCCACTGATAGAAGTCTTTCCTGGTAAAGTTAGCTCTTCACTAGTTATGCTTGGCTCACTCTGTAGTAGGGGGGTGGCAGCAGCCTGCAAAACGAATTTAGTGCTCTGAATGCACTGATCTTGGTCACACTGTAGAATGGAAGGGTGTCAAAATCATACAAGGCAAAGAAAACAAAGAAAAAATAAGGGAGAATATGGACAAAAAGGTATGGAAAAGAATGGGATGTGAAGAGAAAAGAAGAAAGCCATTAGTATCATTCCATGGTTAGCCACCCAAAAATCCCATTGCATGCTGCCCAGAAAAAAAGCATGCAAAACTGAGCCAATGCTTTGGATTATTATCAAGGTAAATGATGATAAACATTTCCAGTGTCCACTTCAAGGGTTTTGGTAGCCTGTAAAACAGATCTAGGCATCTTTTAAGTTAAAAAAACACTAGGCAATTGTCTTCTTTTAACTGATCTTTGCATGTATGAATTAAGCTGCCACAGAATTTTTCCAGAACAAGAATTCCTTTTATGCAGGTGATTGTATAAAGATGTAGTTGGCAATACAGCCTTCCTTGAGCAAGAATTTCCTCCCTCACAATTTAATACATTATATATACATTCTAGACAACATATTACACTATATTCCATACTCCAGAGGATGTGTGGAAATTAGGAAGCACTGCAGATGCATCAATTTGAATCAGGTTTAACAATTTTTAGGCTGTTTCTTGATTAATTTAATCTTGACAATGTGAAGAATCAAGGTACAACACACAAGTTTTCTGGCAAGCACCTTCTAAATAACAAGCCAAATTCAGAATTATATAAATCCAATTAAGTTCAGTATTAGCTGAAATGCTTTTGGCTCTACATCATTCCTAAGAACTGTTTATACAAAATTACCACTCATTCCTTGAGATGATGAGACAGGTAGGTGTTTCAATAATGTCCAGCTATCTAAGTGGGTAGTACACCTACGGCCAAATTAAGTTCTTTAACACAAATTGCCATGATTTTTGAGAGCTTCCAAGGAAAACGTACATTTAATTCATAGCCTGATCAGTTATAACATCTGCAGATTTTCAAAATCTTATCAGACTCATTTGCCATAGTACTGTTCTGCCGTGCAAGAAAAACACTACAATCAAGGAATACGACTATAAATGCAATGCACTCAAGAACATTTGGAAGAAAGCAAGCAGAATAAAAGACATATCCACAGGTAAGACATTGCTATTCACTGCTGTTATTCAAGTATTCTGTTAAGCAATATGTTCTCCCTTTCAACTGACTACTTTGATCCATCTCAAGTTACTAGGCGTTACAAATCCAGTGTCTCTTCAGATATTCCTGATTATAACATTGCTACTAATACTACAGCAATTCCCTAAAATGCCCATTTTTGTTTAATAAGCCACTGTGCAAATTCATGGAAAGACTTTTGCTTCCTTTACTGTATGATGAAAACCATGACCAAGAATGCTTCCTCTGATATTTTAAGGTTCTCCAATTTCACCACTGAATAGTTTAACGATGTGTGCAGACTACTTGGTCATAGTAGAAGGGTGGCATTTAAAACATGTCTAAGTGGTTTAAGATTCCCAGACCTAGTATTTTTTGACAGGCAGAAGTCCAATCCTTACTCAGTTATGTATTTCTAACACTTCTGCTTTCAGAAAGATACATGGACTGACTTCCTGTTACATAAACTGAGTTCATGCAAGTTGCAAGCATTTTTTCCCCCACAAAATGCTGAACAGCCCCAGCCAAACAACTGAAGTAGTCTTCTATCTTTTTGGAGGGATTACTCACAGGCTTAAAGCCAAAACCTTGCGTAAGTACCTTGCTAAGAAGAAAACTGTCAACATCATTTAAAGTCTAGCTTTCAATTAGTAATTCGGTGTGAATAACTCATTCTTGATTAATACACTGTTATTCACACTTGCTTATTCCAATTAACCTACAGCCCCTACAGCCAACCTTACTATGGAGACCTTAAAATATGTTAACTGAATTTTCAAACTTCAAAAAGACCAACAGAACGTATCTTCTCTGCAAAGCAGTAGCCAAAGAGCAAGTTAAATAACAAAGGAATGCCTATAACCACTGGAGTACACTGAGAACAAATGTTAGCATCTGCCTTATTGCTTTACTGAAGCTTCAGCTCTGATCTTCAAAAGGAAATCATTAATGTGTTTCCAGGCAATACAAGTCCACAGTTTTAAATTAGCTGAAGGTAATTTACTTGAACTCATTGTATAGTCTGAATTCATTTTCTTCTTACTGAACTCTACTGCATTTCAATTGAATCAATATCGAAAAGATAAAGTAGCCTCATAAAGCTCCATTAAATAGCGCTGTAAATTTCTTCAGGTGCTGTATCTCTCTTCTTCATTTTCCATGAATTTTCACTTCCCTAAAGCCTCTCCTTTCATTTAGATACATTTCAGGTTTTCTTTTTTTTGTTTTGTTTACTGGTGATCAACACAAAATCTTCAGAAAAATACAGGTCATAAACAGCTTAAAAGTGAACTAGAACAGGGTTTAAACTAGAAAAGGCAGATGAGTTCAATGAATCTCTCAACACCTGATAAAAACAGTGCCTACTATGCAGGTAGATTATTCTTGAGTCTAAACAGCCACTATGAAATTAAACAAGGAAATCAGATTTGTTTACAGCGCTGGTGGTTTTTGCTTGATTCTGTATTTCACTCTTGACTAAATGAAATTTAGGGCCAAAAGTCTTAACTGCTACTAATCACATGAATTACTCAATGTCAGAATTTCAAACGAAATAAAAAAGCCTATGATTGTAACGAAAAGGAAGCCAAGCATTGAAATCTAAAGAACTAAAAATCTACTGTAGACATTATTCCACCAACACCTTCTCACTTGAGCTCTACTGACTCTATTTTCCACTTAAAATTTCTACTGTTGCAGAGGAACAGCAGATTCTGAAGGTAAGCCAAGTTTAATAAATCCTACAAGTACAGAAGTTCAAATCCATATGTGCACAGAAATTTTTCACCATTTCTGCATCTACTGTCACATAAAAAGGCACGAATTAAGACAAATTAGACAAGCCCTAGAATTTGTGTTTATTTCACAAATAATAAATACAAACAACTAAGGAAACAATATTTTTTCTTTTTTGTTCCTGAGGAAAATCTGGATTTTTTTCTAAGCTACACAGAAAATACATGTTAACATAGTTGTACATGGCAATATATTTTTCACATTTCTAATGCCAAAGTCAGAGATTATTTACTTTAAATTTTAAATTAACTTTGCTAAATTCTCAGTTCTCAGAAGATGGAGTACCACAAATTTAATTATCTCAGCATCTCTGAATAAGAATAAACAGCAGGAAGTTCAGATGAGGCTGACAGTGCCAGGAAGTAACAGGAAGGATACTGAAATACCATACTAGGTGGATACAATAGATGGGTAAAGAGTGGAGGGATGGAGATGTATAACTCTTCCCAACAGGTGTAGGATTTCACAATCAAAATCAATGTGCACTGTGCAATGTGTACTGTGCAACAACTGAGCCACAAACCCGACCAAGTCAATGGCTCCACTGTCAAGCAGTACAGTGCATAAGGAGTACATCTATGAAGAGAAACACTTATGAAGCCAAAAGGGGAAACTAACCTGGCCCAGAGATTTTACTTCAGATTAGATACTGTTTGTTCTTGTGGACTAAAAGTCCATGAAAGGTTAGAGCACACTGGGTATATTCTAGGAGCACATCTAAAATAAGTCTAGTTCATGTGCTCTGATACTGCTCTGTGAAGTGAATAAAAATGCAGTAAACATGCACTACTGAAAGAATTGCTCCTAAAACATACCTCAATCCAAAGCAAAATGCTGAAGTTGATTTACTTGCATGTGCCCTTAAACCATTATAACTGTGAAGTAAAATGCTTTAATGAAAAACTTCTGTCAACCTTGACTCTTAAAATTTTGACTTGACCAGAGCCCTAAGGTCCATGCTGGGCATTTGGGAAACACATTGATAAATATACAAGAAAACACAATTGTAAAGCTCCCAGCGAGGTGAGGCTCCTGTCCTTGCCAATCCTTCTACTGTCATGATACAAATACTTACTTATAATAATGAAAATATGAAAAAGTACACTAGGATGGTCAATGTTCCCTGGATCAGCTGGATCTGTTTCCAGCTCAGTGATAGAAATAATTATGTGAACATTTGGGAGAGGACTTTCCTGCACGTCTCACTGGTAAAGAGTGTTGCACATGCACTATAGTTCCTACAATTTTCAGAGGAAAATAGAAATAACAAAACACTCTAAAGAATTTGCATCTGGGAAAGGAAAGCGAGAAATACAAATAAGGGAATTTGGCAAACAAGGAACTACCTAGACACAGAAGAAGAGTTATCTAGGAATGCAGGACTACAAGTGAATTTCTTAAAACCAATTTCTTAAAAACCTGTCCTGACACAGAGTCAGAAGCAAAGTCTATCACTTTATAAGGCATTAGAGAATTCCTAGAGACATCATACTAAATATAAACCAAACTAATTCCTCTAAAAAAAAAGTGCATGGAGTGACATAGATTCTGTGTTTCCTCTTAATGGACTACTAAATAATAAAATACCCTGTATCAAACCTGAAGAATCAACTCAGGCTTTTAAGAGAAAGCTAAGTACTACAGTAGTGCAAACCCAAGTAATGGTAGCTGATGGGTTTATGGCAAAATAGGAACATTCTTCAGAACACAAAGAAGATAAACTAATTTTAAAGAAGAAGAAGAAATTACAGTGAAAATTATTATTTCATAATAGGTGAGATACTGTATTTCATGCAAAAAAATTTTAACAGTGAGAGAGATATTTGGGCAATGACAAGCTTGTAAAAATAAACAGCAATAGGGAAATACTTTGGAAATACCAGATCTACACATCTGGAGCTCTAAGTGGCCATACTTGTCACGTGGATAAGGATATCAAGAAGTTGGTTAATGAATTTACCAGACTAATTTCAAATTGTATTGGAAAAGAGAATGAAAACACTGTGAATATACCAGGAAACTAATAATTATATGTGCTTCCAGCCTTCATAAAAGTAAAAACAACCTCAGCTTTTTGTAAAATAAGGGAGATACTAAGAAGAGAACATGAGAAAAACACCTTCTATAAAGACCTAGAAAAAAAATAAAATCACAGTATGAGTCTACCAGGCATTGACTATAGCAACAACTCTGACTTGCTGAGACTGTCACAAACTGAGTCACTGCCCCAATTAGGGTAGATTCTATATGAAATATTCAAAGTTTCAGAGGCAAAATTACCACAAAAGCTGTTAAATTCAAAACTGGAATAAGAGATTGCACTGAAAACAAGCACTGGCAACTTTACGCTTAGCCTGATGTTTTATTTTGAGCTTAAATGCAAAAACGATGCTATGCTGAAAGATTAATTAAAATAAATGAAAACAGAATATAATCCTAAGCAACCTAGAGACATTTAAAGAAGGTCAAGAAGCTAGCTGGGTGAGGCACAAGAAGTTTGTTTACAAAAACACAAGTCACTGAGTAAAAGATTTGAGGGAAGAGAAGGAAATTAAAGTGGGAAGGAATAAGCAAAGATAAATGTGAGAGAATATGCTTGTTAAAATCTTTATTTAATAGCAATCGTCAGGAGAGACATTTCACCATGCTATATGGATGAAGCAGTATAACATCTAGGCATTAAGATTCAATGTAGAGATAATTAGATGTAATGCATTCTGGAACAAAATCCAAGGAGTCACACCACAAAGGTGTACTGAAACACATGCCTGGCTTCTAAAAAGTGATTGCCTGCACTCAAAAGCTTTAAGCCCGTTGAAATAGTGTAAATATCTCTGATAATGTACAAATGGCTAAAGCTCTGATACTGGAAAAGTATTTATGGACTAAGACTATGATTGACATATGCTCTTTTAAATCAAGGAATTTCACTTTGCCTGTCCTTATCCAAAACCATAATACAATGTGCAGTACCAGATACATCCCCTGCACCAGGGAAGAGAAATTAGTGTTAGAGAGACTGGAAGACTAAGCAGGTCTTTGACAGTTTACAATAAAAGTCAAGGGAGAAATTTTAATGCTGATGGCCAGCTGCCACTAGAAACCAAGGGGTCTTAGATACAGACCAGGAATAATACCCTGACAAAAATGTCATCACAGTCTCAAAGATATTTCTCCAAATCAAACACAACTTATTACATTTTTTCAAGCTTTTTCTAAGAGACCATTTTCAGGAATGAAACCTGCAGTTTTCCTAGTGACTCTGCTAACGGTTAAAGAACACAAGCTCTTCCCAGCTCATGTAGTGTGGTGTTCTAGGATACAAGAAGTTTCATTAAAGTAATACCATACCAAATGTCTCCATTTCTAGAGACAAAGTCAGTCAACTTTTTAACAAACTGGCACAGGATTTTTTCAGTAATATCAAGGAATAATAACAGTGTCTTCTTACAATACAAGTATAATACATATAATGGTAAGGTATTTAGTGCCAGGGACACATTGTGGTTTTATGATCCTCACAAATAAGAAGCCTTGACAGAGTCAGAAAGTTTGGGCAATCCCTGAAAGACCTGAGCACATTTCTAAGGTTTGCTTACTCCTTCCTTTTTTTTTTTCTCTTTAACGCCCTTTTCTCTCTTCAGGGTTATATTGAGTAAAATTTGCATGGAGCATTACCTTGTTCTGCTCAACTGCACCTCACAGAAGATTCAGACTTAACACTACATCTCTAATACATTTTCTCATTAAGAAGACTAACAAATCTATTTAGTTCTCAAATAATAAGTAAAACCAGCTTAGGAACTAAAGCAAAAATTTTATATGACTTTATCAGTTACACTAAAACTAATCTGTCTGGGAAGACTGAGTCTTCTTTTGTTCAAAAGAAAGGCTGAATTATCATGGCTTTCTCTTTTTTTGGCAGAGGGAAGGTGTCCATAACACATGACTTCTTTGACAAAGTCTTAGAACCCACATAATATGAAGATATGTGGATAACAATTCAGAAATAGGCACATATGTAAGATGCTTGCCTTTGGAAAAAGATCTCTTTCCAGTTTTTCTCTTCTTCTTGGCACTGGAAATCCTATCTTCCATTATGATAGGCAATGCTACCAGCAAAAAACAAAGTAAAAACTATTGGCACAGGTTCAAAGTTGTTTAAAAGCTCTTGTTGTAACAATCCAGTTGCCATTTTTTGTTCATTGGAAGTTCAGTGTCCTTCTGCTCTTTCTTCAACACACTTCTCCCCTAGAAACTTCTCTTTGATCATCTTTGCTTTTTAAAACACATTAGTTTATGCAAAACCACAGTGTATAAGCAAAGAAGGAAATAAGAGTATGAAGGAAGTGCTATACAAAATAACAATTAGCTGGAAAATGATGAATCAGAGAAAGTCCATGATATCTGAATACTCCAGTTCAAAACACATCAGGTGTCAACAGTAAAAGTAAGCAACACTGTAGAAAAGCCTTTTTTTTTTTTTTTTAAAGAATCCATGAGTAATAACTGTTACACTGTGTGAAACATACATTAAAAAGAGCCTTGGGGTTTTTTTCTTTACTGTTAATAAACAAGTCATTCCACCCAGTGTGTCAGCTGTATCCAGTTAGTTATTACTTGATTAGTTCACATGAAAGTGGAGAAGGAAAACATTCACAGGAATCTTGATGAACAACACTATGGGATGATTCCTACCATGTTGCTCTGAGATTGTGTGGCCCCGTACATAGTAATGCCATTTGATGGTCCTGCTAATTGTGGTGTATCTGGTTGTATAAATCCTCTTCTGTCAATTAAGCTATGGAATAATCACAATAAAGAAAAAGTGTTAGATTTCTGATCAATAACTACCTGCTCCCAATAAAATGAGAGAAAAACTTTGTCCTACAATGGACCTTAATACCTCACTCATATCTTCTAATGACTCCTTTTAGTCAACCGAAGTGCAAGACTTCATTTCTACTCATCGGTGACGTACTTGTTCCCTTGTATTACTACCTGTCACATAGTCATATGTACTGCTACTTTTCTGAATTTTTATCACAGACGAAAGATTTAGAAGCTTACCAGCAGATACCTCAGAACCAAAGAACTTTAAACCACAGGTGTGAAAACAAATCACAAAACTCACTAAGGCACTTTGACTCAGTATCTATTTTGAAGCTTCTTTTTCTACCAGTGTCCATATCTAAATTAAAACTACTTAATCATAGAAAGAAAGAATAGTTTTTGTTCAGAGAGGCAATTTATTTGCCAGGTGTTCAATGACAGCTACTTAAGCTGTTCCACTGTGGTTACCAAAGTGATGGCACTCATAAAACTTATTTCTAGGAAAATGCTTTGTGGAGAAATTACTAAATATAAGTAAAAAAAATCCATGTAAGATCATAAAAAAATTAAATAGAATGGAACAGTGTGACCTAGTCAAAGATGCTTAAAAAAGTTACATGAACTATTGTATCAAAACACTGGTTAGAACTATGCTGACAGCCATGGATCAACTTCAGATTTTAAAGTAACTGTTGAGGACACATAAAATGCATCCAGAATTTGCTAGCACAAGTTTAAAAATGTGTAATGATCTTAAACAAAAATGAGGAAAGTTTGGATTATTTACAGATCCTGTCTTTATCTGCATTCCACTCTCAAAGGCACTTGAACGTTCTTAATTTCAAGCTGCAATTGCTGCTAAGCCACTTTATCAGAATTTACAGAAAAAACATTAATATTTAGTGACGTGGGACACAGCTGAGACTAAAAGTAAAAAAATGCAAGGTTATAATTTACATTTTACAGTCAGTAATTTTTCCCCTTGGTCACATAATATGTCTCTGCAGAACCTCTACACATACTTTGACATCTAACTAAGTAATGCTGCTACATGGAATTTAGGAAAAAATGTAGAACTCTGTTAAATCACAGGAGCCAATGCCAGTCTGGTCTAAGTACTGCTCTTGTATCAGCCCAAGATGCTATTTAAAATACTGAGAAACAGAATGTAGTTTTAATAAAGATTTCCATTTGGAGTCAAAGGAATTTGAAGCATAGCATTCAGCTTTTATGACACATACTTTTGTGAAAAGCAAAATGGCAGAATTACACGGTTGGCTTGAGGCAACATCTATACAGGCAGAAAGAGGGGACAGGGCTACCCTTTCTCACCACAGGGATTACAGTGTTAACCCAGTATGTGGAAATATTAACTCTGCTGTCTCCTGTTTAGGAAGAGATGTCAGTCTCTCCTGTTGACCTCTGCTCATAGAAGAGCCACTGCTGATATACGTGATAGCAAAGCCAGAAATACCACTTCCATTTAAACACCTTAGTAAATTACTTTATGGTCTGGTGGCTTTCTTTCTTCTCAGTAGTTCAGATTCATAACTATGTCATTACAGGTGAAGCAAGACATACCCACCCATGAGTATGCCACAAAAATAACCTATAAAATGTCAGCTACTCTCCATAGTGACCCTGGGCCTCGACTGTATATGCAGTACATGAACTTTCTAATCTCTGAGCATCAGAGAAAATCAAAGAATGAAGTCTTTCCAGCTGCCAGCTCTATTTCTCTAGTCTCAGCTCTGCATCCCATTTTCTTGAAGTTGAAAAACCATCTCTAAACTTGAATATACAAATATTTTGGATTTCAATAGTGAAAATGCATACAGCAAAACTTAACCCATTATGCTTTCTCTGGAATTGCTTTGGTGTGCGACCACCAAATTCAGCTTAATGTCTATATGTTAACAGTATAGAATAAAAAAAATAAAATTACTGTGCATTTAAATAAAATGGTTCCGAACGAAAAGAAAAAATGACCAATTATCAAGCTAGTTTTAGTTTTAAGGTTCCTAATCTCATGTCACATTTGTTAAACATGTAAGAGTTTAACAAATTTTTCAAGTTGCCCTTCATGCAACAGCTAACTACTAGAACTTACTACTAACTTGCTACTCTAAGCTGTTAACTGCAGTGTCAAAAGTTCAAACAACAAATAAACAAGTTTATTTTAATTTCAGATGTCAGCCTTACATATATTTTACAGGATCTGATGACTTAGTTTAGCCACAATTAACCAATTTACCTCTTTACTACTGAAGAAAAACGTAATTAAACCTTCTAATGGACACTAATCCAAAACTTTAGCTTTGAGTAAACTCAAGCAATCAGAAAGAATAATTTTTTCATCAATAAATCACATGGCTTCATTTATACTAACAATACTTTTGATACTCTTACCTTGGAGAGAGGGGCCCACAGAGTGCTGCACAGCAATTAGTAAAGATGTTGCCATAACTGTATGGATTATAGTTTTCTTTACCTCTTTTATTTGACCATGATCCTTTAATCTGAAGAGATATGAACGATATGCATCACATAAAATACAATATAGAGAATGGCTGAGACAAATTAAAGGTTACCAAAGCAGCAACATGCTACGTGCAGAGGGAGACCACAGAAAACCCATGACGACATTTTCCAAACAGAGATTTGGGCTGTTACAAAATGCTGGACCCTAAAAATCTTACAAGTGACCACATGCTTTACCTCCATAGATTTAGACAACCCAAAATCTCAAGGGATCAATACACTCACAGTAGGAATTTCAGCATCTAAACATAATGGTCTAAGTTTAATTTTACAAATAATCTGGCATGTTTTACAGAAGAAGCTCAATTGCAACATACCATTAAAGCCAGCAAGAGAGCACTTCTTTTCCATACACTTGGGTAAGTTCTCAAGCTGTGCAATATCACACATTATCTTCCTTAAAGTTCACAAATGGCTCTAAAATATTGTGAAGCAACTGCAGTCACTACCACCTTTTACTGCATGTTACATTTTCTCTTAGCCAGTTTGCTTTTCAGTTTGTGAGATACTTCAGAGCCTGAGTAAAATGTCCTGCTGTATTCAGTTGGGAATGTATGTTTTAAATTGAATTACTGAACAGTTTACTTGAAATTCAGACATGTTGCACTGCTGCAGGTCCCTGCTATCCGTTTTTCAGCAATCCAAAAGAGACACTTATTTGTGAGAATAAGGGGATAGTAGCACACCAAGTCCATCTAGAGAGGCAATGCTGGCCTAAACCTAACGAACAAGGGATAAGACAGTCCCTAAGATGCTATTTTTATATCTGCCAGATACCTATGAAAAAGGTACAACACAAAATCACAATGCAATATCTTAAAGCTTGCAGTACTTTGTTAGATCACTTACTAAATTTCCAACAAGCTTTCTATACCATTAACTCTCCTGGCTAATTTTATTTTTCCATTCATTTTGTATTTCTCCTTTTAGTCAGGGGAGGACACATGAAGACTCCAAACACTTGAACAAAATTTCACACCAAACAATGGAAACCCATGTGCAAAATAGACAACTGTAGAAATGAGAAAGTTGGCATTTAAATTAATGACATACCCCTTTGCCAGAGGTTTTAGACCTCAGACTGGCATCTGATCTTTTGAATCAAGCACAACCATGTTACTTCCTTCTTTCCTACTAAGGTGTTCACAAAATGAGGCAGGTGTGACTCGAGAGAAACCTCATTAGTATTTAGAAACATGTATGCAGAAATATACTATGAACTTACATCTTCATTTGTTGTTTGATTGGAGCTGATCAAATATGTATGAAAACCTGAGAGGCCAACAATGGACCATACTGAGAAAAAACACACCACAGCCTCCAGCACAGTAACTGAAAGTCAAGGAAATATATGCAAACGGAAAAAAATAATCCAACAAGTAGTTAAAAATCACAAAATTCAGGTTAGTCCAGAAGTCTCTTGAGATCTCTGGGGTCCTTTAAAGGGTCAACAAAAAATAAACTCAGAAAAGAAGCCTATAAAGTTAGTAAGCTTTATTGTACAAGACCACTGAAGAACATCTACACCAGCAAATATTTAAGGGCTTGCAAACTGAAATTAGAAACTCCTGATGAGTGGTTCTGTTCTTAAATGCAGAAATATTTTCATATTCATCCTGTAAAAGTCATCACACTTGTAATAAGATAGGTAAATTGGTAAGTAACAGTAAATAACAGTTTTGATGGGGTGAGAAGAAGATAAACACAAGAGAGGTAACCAATGGCTAGGCTGAATACCAAAAACTGAACAGATATGTCTGTACAAATATTTACTACACAGTGTGAGTGTTGAGCCAGGGCTAAGGGTTCTAGATCTGTACTCATACGTATGACAACAACTGAGTAAACTGCATCTCAGTCATATGTTCTAATTGCTAGTCTCCTGCCTTTATTCTGTTACTGAATTTAAGATGCTGATAGGCATCAACACTATCATCAAAGTGCACTAGTCCAAACAAAATAAGAAGTCTACTTGCTCTCTCAGGTCCCTCTAATTGGATATATTCTGTGTTACATCTATGGAGGTGACTGAATGGCCCAGTCTTGGCAAATAGCCTGGAAAACAAGTCCTGTTGAGCCTGTGAGTGTAATTAGTTGAGGTGGGGTTGAATAACTCAGAACTCAACAGCATTTGCCCAAAACTTAGCATGTTAAAGACAAAGACTATCAACTCCTAACTCACTGTGCTGCTATTAAAATCTAGCTGAGGAATTATAAATAGACTTTTTAATGGAGGCATAAGCCCAAATTATAAGCAAATCAAAAAAATGGCAGAAGATAACAGGAACATACACAGCAAGGGCACCCTCACCTCCAAGAGAGTAGCAAAGGTGTGCACATACACATGTGTGCACACCACTAGAACTTTTCAAACTACATGATTTTCACTTATTATAAACTGCATAACTCAAATGCCATAAAGACGTAACCATGCTTTAAAAGTAAGACTGATAGACTAGGAAAGTCAGTCAGCACTCAATGTTGCATATTTACTACAGTTTATTTCATTCCTTTAACTCTAAAGGAGTCATCATCTCAGCAATAAGCCAATAAAGTTATTTCTAAACTTTTTATAATCAAGCATAAAGAGGAACTTTGTATAGGAGGCTTCTTGTTGCAGTTATTTATTTATACATATTTTTATTTACACAGAATAGCCATGAACTCAGAATACATCTGGTTTGAGAATACTTCAACTGCCTTTTTTTTTTTTCAGGGAACACAAATCCACAACAGAATAGGCTTTGGCTCCTAGAGAGAGAGATACAATTAATCAGTAGGAACAAGACGATGGGAAAAGAATAGGATAAAAATAATCTGTATATTAACCATATCAACCTTTAGTTAAGTCAGTTTCCAAGACAACGTCAACTCAAAATTTTCCAGAACAAGGACACAGCCTTAAAACACAGAAAAGACCTCCCTATTGCTGCGTGCATCAATAGAAGAGAAATATGACAGCTCCTCTCCATTATACAGAGATGCAGACTGGAAAATGCATGGATGGACACAAGTATTTGCAATAAATAACCCTAATATTAGTTAATAGGGAAGACTTTTGTATTGCAGGGCTGCTCTCACCTATGATTTGGGAAATACCTGAATTGTCCGTATTACTTTCATTAGAACCTATTTCACTGAGAGTTGTCTAAAGCCAGAAAAGAGCCATGTGCATTCCAAGCAAATTCGTTGCAAAAGCAGCAGGATGACCAATGTGCATTCCTGAGCAGCATGTTCACTACTCTCCCTCTCATCTCCTCCTCAAATGATCTGAGGTCAAACCAACACAAGATAGGAACTGAGACTCAGCTGACTGTGCAACAGCCACAGCCAAAGCAAGGAGTACAAGGGAGAATGGATAAGGAAGTAGACTCTTGGCAGAGGGTTCAGAAACATGTAAAAGAAGCAAACAGCCCAAAACATTATGCACAGTACAAACTGGGCTTTGAAAGGGCAGAACTAGTAAGGAAGGCTGTAGATGAGCACTGCTGGGTGGAGTCTACACACCAAGAGGAAGATCAACCAGGTCAGAGAAGCAGAACCTTAGAGGGAGAAGGGCTCCCTGCAACCTGACCATACCACTAACAGCATGTTCCTCACCAAAATTACTCTTAAAAGGTACTGAAAAGTGAACTTCTTCCTCTATGCAGTAAATCCTAGTGAAAAAATAGGGAATTCCTTTCTGTTCAAGACCTCTTTCTATTCCACACGGGAAGGGACATGTTTCAGTTCTCCACACCAAGATCCAAAAAGACCTCTAGAACAGTAGGGGTGGTTTATATTAACATGATTCAGTTAATTAAACCTGAGTCCATTAATTAAAAAAAAAGCACAAACAAAGCAATATATTCTCAACATGAAGTGTAATTTACTGGCGCGGTATGTTACAATGTTCCCTTGGTATCTCACAGAGGGTTGCTAGCAAGATAGAAATGTCAATGTTCTCTGTGCCTGAACTGACTGGCTCCTAAGCAGCATTCCCAATACCATTTGAACAATTTAATTTTTTACCATTATTAATTGTAACCCAGCTACTAAATTGTCCAACGTATCACTATCAAATCAGGCATTTCTACAAGATGTGCCATTGAGACATTCAAAGCAGCACATCTCTGAACACAAATTATGAATAAGCAGCCCATTGTTTCTGTACAAGAATCCCCAAATGCATAAGTAATTACCTTCTGATTTAAGGACAATTGAAAGCTATTCTCAGTTTGAAAAGAGTTTGAAATAATCATCTTTGGTAAGAATTGATTGTAATTGTTTTAATTGGAAGCTATTGTGCTATTTAGAACAGTTTGTTTGTACTTTGTAATATTATTTGCACAAAAAATTATGAACAATGGCTTTGTTAAAACAGGAGGGGGTTACAGCTCAGTGTCTCTACCTGATGAACATACACACACACAAAATATCACATCTGCAAAATTTGCACTTGGGAAAACTACCTGGAAAGAGAGATCTCTATGCACAACTATGAATGACAATTTCTTCGTCCTACTCTTTCGTAGAAAAGCAAACTGTGTGAGGCACGATGGACAAAGGACATTTCCTTGGAACAAGTACGGGAAAGAATTCTTTTCATAGTATCTTTGTGAGAGGTGCAAACTATTTATTGAGACACAAACCATCCAAAACATGTACATAAGGAGTGGGAATGAGAGGTGCAAACTATTTATTGAGACATAAACCATCCAAAACATATACATAAGGAGTAGGACGCTTACAGTATGTACAGAAATGTAAGGAAAAAAAAAATCAGTCAGCTTCCCATTTTTTCATTATGTTAGCTGCTTTCAGACTTCACTCTCACTGAACAGAAAACATCCAGAAAGCTCCCATGAAGCAACAAAATGTACATGAAGCATTTACGGAATAGAACCACAGAATGGGTTCGGTTGGAAGGCACCTTACAGGTAATCTAGTTCCAACCCCTCTGCCATGGGCAGGGACACCTTCCACTATACCAGGTTGCTCAGAGCCCTATCCAAACTGGCATTGAACACTTCCAGGAACGGAGCATCCACCACGTCTCTGGGCAACCGACTCCTGTGTATCACCACCCTCATTGTAAAAACTTTTTTTGTTGCAGCCCAACAACCTACCCTCAAACCACTGCCCCTTGTCCTGTCACTAAGGGCCCTGCTAGAATGTGTCTCTGAGTCCTCTATACATACTGCAAGACTCCCTGGAGTCTTGTCTTCTTCAGACCAAACAACAACAGTAGGCTCTGTGTAAGCAAGTTGCATATTGCTATGTAAGTTAGCAGAAGTTGGTATCTGAAAATGACTTCTTTACAGTTAATCAACATAACAGTTTAAGGAACAGAACTCTTGAAGGACAGCTTATGGTTTCGGTTGTTCCAAAATCTACTCTTTCTATCCTGAAAAGAATCAGCCATTTTGGATACTTTTTCTTGTAAAAGAACAACAATTATCAAATATATTATCTGGAACCACCGCAGGTGTACAGTGTGAAATACATTTATGAATTCCATCACAAAACATGGAGCCTATTTCACCAGACATGGCAAATACAGATCTTTGCAGAGTACTGATCTGCAAAAGACAAAGAATAAAACCACTCCAGGCTGTAGTCTCCTTCCTACCTCCAACATGCGGCAAGAAATCCTATTATGCAGGAAGTGATGAAATCATTAACTGACAACGTCCCAAAGCACATATCCAACAATAACAACAAAACAAACAAAAACACATCTCAGATGTTATTCTGCAAGAAAATCTACAACTTGTTTTAGTGAAAGGATATCTTGCAGGACTGTCCTTCAGGGCATTGAGGAACCCTGTTTGTTGAGAACCTGTAGAAACAAAACCCAAAATTACAAGCTGAGTAAGAAACTGGACTACAGGCTGTTTTCACTATAGTTAAAACAATTCATATTTGAAGATAACTGAATAATAGTAGAATATAATTACTAATATGAATCAGATAATATGTTGCCCAGCAGTAACAACTTCAGCTAAAAAAACCTGGGTAAGTTATAACGTTTAACATTTGCAGAATATTTTCTCAATCATACCAAATGGATACACATACTTTCACATTAGGAAGACTTCTGATTACCCCTGTTCTTTTCAGGCTTCATATGGAAATAAAAAAATTGCAACCTCTTTTAAATTTTGAAATAATACTTTTCAAAGCAACATTTTGTTGTAGACATTTATTCTATAAACTCAGATTCTCAACTTTTCATCCTTTGTTTGGGAAGCAAAGCTCTCTTGACTATAATCCTGCTCCTACTGCACCTGCACAGGAGATTCTTTAATAGGTGATTGTTGCCTCTGGCCAAATAAAAGACAATCTAGTAGGTGAAAAGAGATCAAGAGAAGCATTAGTCAAACAACTAGAGAGGCAGAACCATGCAGAGTGCAGAAGCACTTGGGTTGTGTAACCATGAGATATTAATCAGAAAGGGTGATTTGACGATTTGCTGATTGCAACAAATAAATTTGTTGCAGAAACCGAGTATATGTGACATACCTGTAGGCACAGTTTGAATTTTACTGTATAACTTCAATGATTTAAATGCATCAGGCTGAAAGTCTACCCTGCAGCAAAAATTTTTCACTTAGCTAAATTCATCTGAAGATTTGTATGGAGAGTAGAATTTTGTCTTTATAAAGAACCACATATAATTATTTCCTAGACCTGTCTTATAACTTTTACTGTTTGTCATTACAAAGGGAAAGTTACTTACCTTGTATTTCTGAGCTTTTTCAGACTCTCAAAACTGGCTCTTAGTCTCAAGGTACAAGACTAATGGAACTTCCCCTACTTTTTTACTACTTTTAGGATCCTTAAAGGCAATGGCAGCAGGTAGGTGTGATCTCTACACACTGCTGCTGGTCACACTCTTCCAAGCAGTTCCCAATAGATCAGAAGTGGAAGGTTCTTCACAAGAAACAGTTAAAATACTGTTGCCTCAAATAGATATGAGTAACTACTGAAAATGTGTTCAGCTTGGGGAGATGGAAGAAAATCTTGCAAGACAACACCTTTACCATCTGATTTACAAATGAGTTTCATTATCTTCCATAGTATTATATGCACGTGTTCTTAAGCTAGAAAGAGCAAATTTCCAGTGTACACCTCAAAAGGTTGCAGAAACAAAAAGTTAGCATATATCTCTATCTCATCACCACTTAGGCCCACCAAAAAATATAAAATGCCATCTTGTAAGATGTATGACAAAAATATACAAGTTTCAAACATTTGTCTAAATCAAGGGACATTAAAATAATTTTGCCAGGACTTATGAAAATACATATGTACAACTTTGAAACGCTGTAGAAAGCTCCCAGGTCTGAAAACTGGGCCTTTCTTCAGCCACACTAACAAAAACCAGTCTGTGACAAGTGCAAAGGTTCAGATAAACTAACTGAGAATCCTGCTTACTGGTTAGCATCAGCTGAAGAACTGCAGGGCTACCAAACAGAGCACAAATGGCTGAGCGGTAACTATTAGAAAGGTAAATATGAGGACTTCTAGAAGCATAGTAGGAACAGAGAGAGGAGTGATCAATGTGATAAGAAAACCCTATTTCTAAAGAACTCTTTTTTGGACACTGTCAAGATTATAGCAGACAAAGTTAAGAGCTGGGGTGGAAGCTCCAGCGTAGAAAATAAACATCAAGGAACTAATCATGTTTCATACCTGATGCCATTGCCTTTGAGGACTGGCCAAACTTGAGAACGTAAGGATGTTTTACATTGTCTCATCCAAGGTAGATAAACCTCCACAGCAAGAGTATTTTGCAGCCAATAGACAATTCAGCATTTAACATTTACTATACATCACCTGTAACACCTGGTGATGTATAGTAATGCTAACACCTACATGATGCTAAAGTGCTTCTCAACCACAAAGAGGCACAATTAATTACTCTGCTCTTTGTCTAAATCACACTTAAAAGTTAGGTATGGACTCTGTGAAGTTAAAATCCACTAGATAAACCTCCTTGACATGCAGAATATAAAATACTGACATATACTGGTAATTCATATGCTGAAAACTAGAGAGAAAAGCACTGCAATCCTTATGATATGAAGGTAGGCTAGTGCCAGAGTAGTTTTACATTGTCAGACTAGTAGTGTTTTCAACTACTGAACTCTAGCAAAGTGAGATAGCAGAAAAACCCCATGCTTCCTTCTTAACTGTAAAAGGTGTGTATGTACATACTCATGTATGCCCAGATAATGTCAAGGATTAAAGTATTAATGGCAAGTGTTCTTTTTCCAATAATTACTTTTCCTTTTTTAAAGAATATGCACATCTTATCTTTGCTTTTTCAACTGGTATGAGAAATGCTGTATCCGGTAGGTAGAACAACTTGCTGATTCAGACTCCCTCAAAATAGGTACCCCAGATCTAGCCTAGGAGCTAGATTCCTGAGCTGTGGAGAGCTGCTCAATGCCCATCTCACTCTTTTGTCATGAACAAATAAGAGCAGGAGCTCTGCTTTTTGAAAATCGAGCACAGTCTGACATTTTTTCAGTCAAACATTTTCTAAATATTACCATTATCAAGCTAGTTTTATAAATGTGTTATATACTGAAATTATTACTTCTATCAGGTTTCCCTTGTAATACAGAATACAAAGAAATAAAAAGATCATGATTCCACAATGGTTAAAGAAATGCTCTACACGGCAATATCCTATATAATTAGTGAAAAAAAATAGAACACTCTTATGCTTCCTAGTGATAATAGGTTACAAAAAAACCAACATATAAAAGGTCTTCAAAGACAAGTCATATAACCTATCACCATACATGAAAACATCATCATCGTCATATAGGAGCCAGCAAAATTTTTTAAAGGTGTGCAAATAAAATAAAAAAAGACAGTACCCAAAAGAGTTTTGACCTCAAACACAATCCAGAGTACAAATAAAAATCAATCCCAAACTCATGAATATTTATCTGATTCACTCCATTATGAACTGGTTATTTCAGAATGTCTATGCAAATGAAAATAAGGTGTTAAAAATAGGGCAGAGAATGATGTAAAACTAAACAGCAAACAATGAAAACCTATCTCCTAGTAATTTACCTGTTTGTCTGGATGGCAAGTGACCCATGCTTACAGTTTAAAAAGCACACAAAAGTTCTCTGGGAAAATTATACTGCCTGTATATTTAGACATACAGTATGTGTGACACTTTTCAATAAATCATCCATAAAAGGACAAAAAAAATTACAAAAATTAATACTGTATTAAGATAAAGCCAGTGCTAGATCAATGACTAGTATAAGCAGGGTCCACTATAGACCAGAATGGGACTCACTGGGGATTGTGAAGCTTCAGAGAGAAGGCAAATAAACAAATAAACAAAGAAATAAACCCTGAATGATCAAAATATTAACTTAAAAAACTCAAGCAAATGGCTACATACGTAATCTGATTTCACCAGCATACTTACGAAGGATGACGTGGGTGATAACGAATGCAAATATAAAGACTGTCAGAAAGGACAGAGATAAAATAAACATATAAAAAAATCTGTAGTTTCTTTTCCCCACACAGTTGCCTACCCAGGGACAGTGGTGATCAAACCGTTCTGAAATGAGAGGCAGAAGAAAAAAAAATGGAAAACAATTAATAAAATGCTGTTTATTTGAAAATATGCACTCTGAATACTATATTAAAACTCATGATTTAACTGGCATTTGCAAAGTAGCCACAGTGAAGTTCTTATTCTGAAAGGAACAAAAAATAGAAAAGAAAAAATAAAGGAGTACTTTAATGAAACCTTAGTTTCTAAAGAAATCAAAGCATGGCTGAGGTGAGTTCCTGTTAAACTAACAGCATTATCGTGACAAATTGTGCAGTCAGACCAATAACCATGTATTTATCCACTGTCACACAGTACATTAGCAACTCAATCCTGTTTGATTTTTTCAACATTGGGGTTTTTTTTCTTCTTCAGTACATCTTCTACTCAAAACTGGAGTTTCTGAGGTTGTTTTATTTCTATCTGTCATGATCATGCCTCTGACTTATGTCTGCTATCATATCATCCATCCATTAGGGAGTATGAAATATTAACACTTTCCCACTTCCTTTTATTGCTTCATTCAGTATATTCTTCATTCCAGATCACCTATTTTTCCACTTGGAGTTGACACTGCCATACAAACCCATTATAAAAAGCAAAGTCATTCACATAAACCATTTTTCAAATGTTAAAACTGAAACACATGGTACAAAAATCGGTAGATGTAATCTGAATGATCCACTACCATTTGCACAATAGGCTCCATCTTCTTTGTACTAACTCAAACCCTTTCCCTTTATTTCCCTGAGAGTAACATGAGATAGGAAAAGGCCAGGGTGGATCAGAAACGAGTGTCTCCAACATGGGGGAAACGTCCCAGTGCTGGAAAGCAGCAGAGGCAACAGTTTGCTCCCCTTCTCACCAGGCAGCCTGGACCCACCCTCCATGTCCCAGAATTTCAGGGAATGGAAACAGCTATTGCCAGGAAACAAACTTGAATTTCCTAACTTTCCTTTGGAGAGATTACACTGACAGAATTTTAAATTTTTCAATCAAATCCAAGATCATAAGACACATGCTTTCACGCTGACTCTTTCTCTTGCTCTCTGATCCTTGTCCAAATCCTGGTTTGTTTTCTGTGACTTTTATGCCTCCACTGACGTACGATATCAAACTATTTGTAATTACCCAGGAAACTGAGCTATAAATTTAAAGTCTTTAAGCCATATGTTAAAAAGGCACATTTGACCAAGTACCCTGGTTTATTTTAGCTACAGCTTTATGTTAAAGACCTGCATTAGATGCTTTCCTTGAAGGATGTATTTAGTATTATCTTCATTTAAAAACGTCAAAACAACATGCACAACGGATTTCTGAGTTCACCAGACTTTCAGGGTTTTTTTAATAGTTTTGTGTGACAGCTGTTTAGACCACATGTTCCTGCCATAAATCTGTTTCAAATTCCAATAGGGCTATTCAAGGTGAAGTTACTGAACTTTCTTAGGATAAGGCTTCAGAAAGACTTTGATTGAACAAGTACTGCTATGAATACCAAGAACTAAACACTTGGGGGTAGGTGGTACTACCTTTATTCAGTGCAATACAGCTGTGTTTTCAAAATAAATTGACATTGTATTTGAATAGTGTTTGTCTTTAAATCTGTGCTTCTGAGTCCTTATATTCTGACAAACATTTCATTTAAATTCTTTCATACATACAACACATGAGTAAACAACAACACAAACAAAAGTTACAGAGCTTTCTTAAAGGGTATAATCCTAGGCTACTTTTGTACCCTACTGTTAAAAACCCATTACATGTCTCATAAGATGAATTCTGTATATACAGATTCATTCTCCTCTATGCTGACACAGTGAGAGACAACAAATTATATTAACATAAAGCTCAGTTTCTAGCCTTGAAACAGTATTTAGATACATGTAGACATCTATTTGATAGATTCAGATAAATGCAGATAAACAAAATCACACACATACACACAACCTCTCTATCTATAAACAGACACAAATATATACACACACTGCTTACTGAAGACTGACTTGGTGCTACAGAAGGGATGAACTGACACTTTCAGAACCAGCTTAGTGTTAATTTGGCCTTGGTTGAATGTGAACCTTACTACAGGTTAACACTCCTCACAACTGCAGGGGAAATCCAGATTTGATTAATTTTTCAAGATCTGAGAATAAAAGCTGAACCAACCAAAAAAGAGTGAGAAAATGTGTGAAAAGTTTTTAAGGCGAAACATCAATGAAAAGAAGAGATGAGTAAATGGAGACTAAAAATTCTGCTGTAAAAACTACAGAAAACCAAAGAGGTAAGAAATCTCAGGAGCTGTCAGGAAACCTGTAACAATGACTTTATTTCACTAGCCTTTCCCAAGTGAGCAGCAATTTTGAATCTAGACAACTTCTGAGGATAGTCTGCACCCCCATAACCAAATCCAAAGGGTGAGGCTTCACAAGGTAACTGAGCCAATCTAAAAGCTTCATAGCAGTGAAGGAGATGGTCACATGCTGCCTTTCCTGCCACTTCATCCCATTTCCTTCTTTCATTGTGTAAACTGATGATGAGTCAGGTCAGTTCCCTGAACCGGCAGGAAAGAAAAAAATGGAATTATTTTGTTTATTGCTCAGTGGGAAAAAATGACTTACCAATGGCTGTGTGTCACTAAAGGCTGTGTGAACAGGCACAAAGGAGAGAATCACGCAAGTAGGGAAAACAAAAAACCTAAGAGGATGATGTTCAGACCCCTTCGGAAGCAGCAAGCTGTCAGCATGACTCAGTGGCCTCGTTAACACTTAAGTTGTCTAATTAACACTCACCTAATAATCTGCGTTAACCAGATGACAGAAGAGGGTTACCTCGTACTTTAGACATTCCTCATTTTTTTACCTTCCCTGAATCATTTACATTTGAAAACTTGCTTACAAAACATTAACTGCTGGATATCTCAGATGAAAACAAAACCAGAACATTTCCCATTTTAATAAGTGATGGTTATACAGACAGTGCTTCCTTCAGAAGCCACACCAAAGCATATTCCTTGCTGCTCAGAACCAGAGTCAAATCTCTACCCTTCCACAGCACAGCATGTAGACTCTTAAATCCTTAAATGTTCTGCTTCCCTTTTTCCATCACTACACTCCAGGAAATCATGCACAAAATGACCCTAATGCTTTCCTTCCTCTTTCAAAACATTTAATAAAAGCTTTATAATTTACAAGGAACACAAAGGCATTTTTACATGGAACATTTGTAGGCCAGCTTGGCCCCTCGGTTTGCAGTATTTATGAACCGCTTCCTTTTTCCTTTGTTTGACTGGATCACTGCACGCCAGCATACATTTTCTAAAGCTTAATGTGAAGGCAGGTCTCAAAGACAAGAGTCTACACGTGCAAAAATATCTAGGTCACATTACTAGGAGATTCCAATGAGCACAAGTTAGAATTCGCTTGGTAATTCTTCCATCCCATTCAAGTAAAGTGTTGTAGGGCAAAGACACAAACCTAAGACATCCACTAAATCATCCATAGAATCATAGGATTAAAGGGTTGGAATGGACCTTACAGATCATCTACTCCCAACCCCACCTGCCATGGGCAGGGACACCTCCTCACTAGACCAGATTGCACAAGGCCTCATCCAGCCTGGCGTGGAACACCCCCAAGGTTGGGGCAGCCACCATGTCCCTAGGCAAACTGTTCCAATGTCTCACCACCTTTAGATGTTACCATCCTCGTTTAACCCATGCAGTCATACAGCCCAGGACTGGAAAGAGTCAACAGCCCACTATTCAAATCTTATGTCAGTCAAAAAAATCACATTACAGCACAACCAACTGGGGCAGAATTACTCAAAATTACTTTTGCTAGTAGCAGTAGTACAACACAGGACTACAGAGTCAATTGTCATGGATTCACACTGAGCAATTATATAGAGAGACCAACACATCTGCACGTTATTTATAAGCATCATAATTAGATCCTTTTGAAGGACTATGATGTCATGACATGACCACATCTATTCAGGCTTCTTGACTTGACATTAGTATGACAAATAGTACTGTCAGAATTTGATTGCTCTTGAAATGTGGATGAAACAAACGAGGTTTTTAGAAGTCCTTATAAAAAAATACTTTTTACTACAAAGAGTATTTATTTTCTTCTAAGATACAGCAGTCCAATGTCAACTGCTGAGAGTCATGCACACATGCACAAAAGCAAATACAACCATTTCATTTAGTCCTTTACAGTCAGTTCAACATGTCTGATAATGTATCATAATAAACAAATTTTATCCAATATTCATAGCATATTCCTGACAACTATTCTTAGCTCAGATGTTCAGTTCCAGTGACTTAAATCATTATCCCTAAGAAAATTATTTAACATATTTTTACAGAAACCAAAACCACTGATGGGATTTGCCATCAACTGGCAAGAGTAATCAAATGCCTGGATTGATTTAATTTACACTATTCACCTGTCTGACAGTCATTCCCCTGTGAATGCTGATACTTTTGTGGAATGAAATCTGAGTACAAATTTATATGAAAAAAAGGGTGAATAACAAAAGACCAATTGCAGGTCACATTTATATGCATGTTGATGTTATTTTAGAACATCTGTTATGAACAATGCACAATGGATCCTTTAAATCACTGAGCTTCAGTACTTTTGTACTCTGATCCCAAATCAAAACACCCCATGAAAACCAAACAGAACAGAAAGAGCCTTCTAGCCTCAAGTTTGCATTTGGGAAATACTCACCACAGGTTTACTCCAGATTACATTCTGGACACTAAGCTCTACAAGGTGATGCAAACTGCAACAGCAATGTAATGTTGGGAAACATGGGCTCTATTAATCAAATAAATTAATAAACTGCATGCACATAATCTACAGCAAAAAGTCAATCAGAAACACAAACACAAGGGCAACTCCACAAATATTTCCTCTTATAATTGTTTAAAGTGTCCCAGACAGCTAAGTTATTTGGGTGGATTTTTTAAGAAATCAATTGCAATGTCAACTTTTTGC